AAATGCTTCCCTTCTTGCCACTGAGTGATTGCATTCCTGACTCTTCCACTGCCTTTATTATTTCTCTTTCTGTCCTGAAAACGACTCATTTTTGTTTTCTCCTGGTTATTAGTTCACTAAGTTGCTCCCTGCTCTTCCCCTCCTTCATCTACCTCAGTTTGTCACTGCAAACTCTTGAGGACCTGCTCTGACACTCTGGATCCTTCTGAGTTACCAATCTCCAAAGGAAAATATGTTTGCAATAATTCTTTCTACACATTACAAAATGAGGCTTACATCAAGGATGAGCTGAAAGACTCAGAACTTCATGTATGGATTCATTGCTATTTTGTATTTGTGGTTCTTGTTTTAGTAAATATAACTAGAGTAAGCATAGTTGACTTAAATTCCAAAGAGTGTATCATATTTTAAAAACTGTATCCATGCCTAAAACATTATTTATTGCTTATCTATGATGTAAATATAATAGGATATCTTATATTTTACTCTGATGTAAATATAATAGGATATCTTATATTTTACCTATTAGTAAAAACAGTATATAACAGTTAAAGAGAAATTCACACAAACAGTAAATAATTTTCAGTATAACACTTGCAAAGCTTGGGATAATATTTTACAAAAAAAATAGTTACTAGTTATCATGAATTGAAAGATTTTCAATGTCCTCAATTTCATCTGACCATCCTACTTGCCCTGCTTCTCAAATTGTACCAAGACACTTGTTCTGAGAGCACATCCTCATGTAGAACCAAGAAGAAATAAATTTTTATGTCCTGATGCCATATACATTACCATATCGTGGTTTTAGAAGAGAAAGACAAAAGGGAGCTCATACCTTGAGGAAATAAATAAAAAGAACATCGGTATGGACACAACCAGCTGAAGAGTATGCCAGTTTCGAATAGCAAAAGCCAGGCTTCCCAGTAGGATATTCCCGAAACTAGTAGCACACACTGCCATTGTTGTTCCCATAGCTTGGTATTTGCGGCTTGTCCATTCTACAACTGAAAGAAAACATCACTGAATAATTACTTCAAGCAAAGGTAGAATATCAAGGTCAAAGTCAAATCTCAGTAAATGTCCAAGAGTCAGTGCTGACTTACTGAGAAGAATACTATTTGTCACAATGGTCGTGGTGGACATGCCAGCCAGGAAGCGTAGTGAGCAGTAAACCAGGAATGTAGGAGCAAAGGTAGCACAGGTGTCAGCAACGGCCAGCTGAAGAAGACACCATGTCAGAAGTAACCTCCTCCCAACCCTATGGAGAAGGGAAAGATGAGATTGTGAGAACAATAACAACTGTGGTAAAAGTTAGCACAAAGAAAACACTTCACACCTATGAAATATTCATAAAGGACCAACAGCTGATATTCTTAAATCAACTCTTCTTCTTTTAAAATAGATAGCTTGTCCTCAAAACTACTTCTTCAATTGTTACCAGTAATTCAACACCAATTCAAGCTATACAAGACATACTTCAGTGTTAGGAATATTAATACCTCATAATATTTCTTGCACTGAAGCATACACTTATGATAGTGGAGAGTCAACGTTGTGTATAAAATATTAAAATCAGCACTTGAGACTCTAGAACTGCACAGGTTATGGCTAACATGATGTAATAGGAACAGCTATGAAGCAGTACATCAACATTGCTAATGGGTTACGTAAGAGTCCCTATCTGCTGAGTTTGGATTTGTTGACTTGGGAAACAAAACATATTTGTAAAAATATAACATGTATTTATCACAGCAAAAGAACATATAAAGTTGACCTTTTCTTAGGTTTGGGAGGGCGAGCATTGGGTGGTAATCTGGTTGCCCATTTCCCAAAGGTGGCTTAGGAACACTGTTGTGGATCTCCACTGTGGAGCACTATGTAGCAATTAGAAATGTGAACTAAAAGTACAAATAGGAATATGTATGTATCCCAAAAACACAGTGGTAAGTACACAAAAGAAGAAAAGGAAACAACACATTTAAGTTACATGAAAATTAAGATCCATAAACCCAACTGTCTCATTTTGTAAAACATGAATTTATAGATGCATAGGCAACATACTATAATGACCCTTATTGAGAAGCAAAGGTTGGGATGCTTCCATGTATTCTGAAGAAAAATCACCCAATATTCCATTGAAGATCCATTTTATGTGAAAAAGCATTTTTTTTTTGCTTCATTGGGACTTCACTCTTTTACTCTTAAACATTTTTAGGATAATGTAGCAGAGTGGAGTCCTTTGAGTTTTCCTACTGAGATTTTATTTTCATGATGCCCCTGAGTGACACTGACAATGTCTTTTTCCTACCTGCATATTCAAGTACGTTGGATCCAATGTGGTAACATATCCACCTCTGTGTCCCCATTGTTAACTGTTTGTGATCTTTCAAACCGCATGTTGTGGCATCTTCTCTCAAAACCCTCTGGTAAAACACCTCCAAATCTTATACTGATTTCCTACACACAGGATTCAGTCTGATTAAAACAGCACTCACCACACTGAGTGACATTTTACATTTGTGTTTGTAGATCCCTGGGAACAAAGGTACACCCAGGACAGTGTAATTTGTAATAATTTTTCATATGCATAAATGATTCATAAGTTGATGATTGTACCCAGGGGTAGAGAGATCTGTGAACCAGAGACACTCACCTGTCTGACAAATAGCCATATACAATGTTTCCAACCAACATTCCAGCCATGAAGAAGAACTTAGACACTGAATTCAGTGACTGCGATTCACATACCAGGTCCCACTGGAAGACAAGGAAACCAGCATAAAAAAACACCTTCACAGACCTGCAGTTTTCTTAATAATATGTCCCTGTCTTCTTCAACAGCTTCTCTTTTCAAAAACACTTGAATTCTACCATCCATTCCTCAGTTTAATAAATGTTTATCTAGGAAGACTACCTTACACCTGTGGGTTACATTAATGATCACTTTTAACTAAGAAGTCCTCTAATTTGGCCACAGTCCACCATCATTCAAGGACTCTGAAAATTTTACTGCAAATCTTCTCATATGATAGGAGTTCAGTCTGGGTATGCAAGTTTTGATCAACCCACCTCCATATCCAATTGGCAATCAAGATAGTGTGTTACTGGCTAAATATCACAATTTTAACAAGACACATGACTT